CTGGATCTAACTATTCTTAAGTTTCCAGCCCATCCAGACCAATGGGTTTTGTGTACAAGGAAGCCATAGGCCTCTCTTCAGATGTTAAAATTAGGTGTGGGGACTGAAAAGGACACGTGGAGGATAAAATATTTCTCTTAATGATCTATTTCACCCTTTATTTACCTGTCAAAGAACCATTTGTCAACGTCACACATCATTTTCATTCCTGCCTTCCTAAATCAGGAGCCAGGCAGGCAGAAGAGAGAACATCAAGACCAATGAAGCTTTTCTTGGGCAGCCCATCATCCTCATCCTAACCACATTATCCTAGAATGAAACCCAACAGCCTTCATCTTTTAAGGAGTTAGAATCTGAGCATAATTAATAGGAATTATTTGACTTTCAGATTCCTTTCTCTACTGACTTTTCTGTCTACTGATCTTCCTTCTTCTATTTCTGTGCCTTGAAAGCTGCTACAATTCCACTTTTTGAGAAGAATAAGTCTAATTTTGTTTTAACCGGTCTCTATAAAAGTAAGCAAGTATTTTAGGCATGTTCCCTCTATTTCTACATTGATTCGTTAAATAAATCCAGACCTTAGCAGGTATAGGTTTTTAAATAAATGTATTTAAAAAATACAAGAGATACATTCTTACAGAATTATCAGCTAGAAATCTGCCTGGATAGAACTATTTCAAAAGGGGGAGGGGGAGGGGGAGGAGGAAGAGGAAGAAGGAGAAGGAGAAGGAGAAGGAGAAGGAGGAGGAGGAAGAAGAAGAAGAAGAAGAAGAAGAAGAAGAAGAAGAAGAAGAAGAAGTCCCAGTTAAAATGTAAATTGTCATTTTACCCCTATATATTATTCCTAGTTCTTCTTATTTGGGCTTACTAAACCAATCCAGAGTAAGAGAGAAAACTCTTTCTCCAAAAGATAAAAAAATAAAAAATGGAGCATTGTAGGATTCAGATCTCTAAGATCAAGTCTTTTCCAAGGTAGGCATTCCCTATGGGGAACTATTTAGTTGTGACAGGTTTTCTTTTAACATGCACATTTTTGACAGAGCCAAAAAATGAGGTGGGTTTATTTTCTTTCTTCCCAATCTACCTTTGCAAATAAAAGCATGTAATGTAATATACAAAAAACAATTTTGTGGTAACATGTTATTCCAATTAGAATCAGAGTACAATACTTTTTATACTCTCCTGAGGTTTGGATTAACAAGCAGCACAAGAAAGAAACATTATTTCTTCCCTTAAAGCCTAAAACTTTGATTTGACTTTTGGACTCAACCTCATTGTCTTTTGGATAGCAATGGTTCCCAGTGTTTCACTTATAGAAAATTGTTATTAATTTTTACGGTCTTTGAAGCCAAATCTTTAGAACATTCTCAATGGTTGACAAACAGGCCCTGCCGATTTGTGAAGTTTAAAGATTGTTAATGCCTAATTAGAAGGATTTTATGGCTATTGTTCATGCAAGGATCAGTATCCATGTCTCTTTCTTCCTTGTTCCCAACACAAATCACATAGCATCATTTTAAAGGACACGGACAGTATTTCAATTAGATTTAGCAACCTACAAATCAGACACCATGTAATTTTTTTGGTAATGTCCAGATGCCTTTTGCCCCCCAACCAAGATTAGTGCAAATTGATGGGCCCAGAAGGACTAGATGCAACGAAGTACGCCTTTTATTTTTTTAAAAAAAGCAGGGATACTGCTCCGGCCCTTATTCCATGTATGTATGTATGTATGTATGTATGTATGTATGTATGTATGTATAGAGATAAGATCACTCATAGAGCAAATTACAGTTTATTTTCAAGTCATTGAACTCTACTGTCTTCCTCCTTCTCCTGATCAAAGAAGCGCCTAACCGCCTTGAGGAATCCCAGCCGCTTGCACTACAATATGGCTATTATGGGTCTGATATTTGGGGGGGGGGAGTGCTAATAGGCAATCTGGTGTTTATTTTGAAACTGCTAACAATGATTTTTCTTGGGTAAAAAAGGCAAGTGTGTCTGGGCACACGGTTGAATGGGTTTTGAGCAGAGGCTCTAACAGATGGTGCAGAGCTATAGGTGCTCGCTCTCTCTCTCACACACACACACACTCACTCACTCTCTCTCTCTCTCTCTCTCTCACACACACACACACACACACACACACACACACACACAGAGAGAGAGAGAGAGAGCGCCTTCCTCCTCCCTCCCTTTCTCCAGACTTCGGGAACCGTTGTGGAGCCTGACCGGCCTGGGAGCAGCAGGCGCTGCAAAACGTAGTTGGTAAAGAAGCTTTTCGCCTTCCAGCCGACGCCGCTCCTGCCCTTCCCCCGCCCCAGCCCAGCCTCCCCCGGAGAAAGCGAGAGCCCGGACAGCCGCCTCCCCGCGAGAGGTTTCCTAAGCGCGCTAGCTCAGAGACACGGAGGAGCGGCGGCCCTGCAATCTCTGCCCGGCTTTTCCTCCGGAACGCTACGGCTGTGTATCAACACAAGTCCTTGCACGAGGATTGATTTTTCTTTCTTTCTTTCTTTCTTTCTTTCTTTCTTTCTTCTTCTTCTTCTTCTTCTTCTTCTTCTTCTTCTTCTTCTTCTT